GCATCAACCCTTAGTGACTACTCATGTATCCTTTGCCCTGCAAACTTGAGCATACCCTTCCTTCCATCAGGGATGAGGCAAACTGAATTTGCCAGGTGTGGATCCAATGTCAGTCCACTGTGGCCAAAACCATTGGAGCTACACATTTGCTCCCATGGCGGGAGGCGGCGGGGGGGGGGTGGTCTCTACAAAGCCCTAGTCACCTGATTTGAGATAAAGGCAATGGCTTCCTTCACTCCTCCAATTATTAGAAGTCATTGGACCTCAAGGGCTGTCTCTAAGGTTCCTCCTGACGCTCCATCAACCCTTCCTTGCAGCCTCACTTGTAGTATATATGCCAGAGATGGGTGTCAGCGGATGGCACGGATACAGACTCTTCCAAGTCCTGTTTAGTGTGTCTCACTCCGCTCTGGAATGTACAGTCTACTAACTCAGACCTTCAACTGGAACCAGGAGGAGAAGAGTTCCATTTCATCATCCTGTCACCCAGATTTGTTTTTATGAAGTACACAGGGGAGTGCCTGGTATAATGGTCACGTATGATCCAAGCCTAGTGGCTCTCTGTTTATCATGCATTTATTTCATAACCATTATGTTTGCCTTTCTTCTTGTTACCTTGTTTTATGCCTTGGGAGCTTTATGTTCCCCGAACACTATGCTTTTGTGTGTGTGGAGATTATCCACTATTATATTCAGCAGTGATTTGGAAAATAGGCTGGTTTTTGTACCTGCATTCTACTAATGTTACCTTACATTTTTTTCAAAGACAATCATATAGCTATTTACCATCACTTTCATCATCCACAGTGGAGCAGCAGTTTTTGTAGCTGTTTAAGTAGGAATTACATGGAGCTATCTGGCCGTTGACATGCTATCATTTTATCCCAATGTTTGTCCTACAGCTTTGAAAGCTCTGGACTGTTCTGGGACCTGCTTACCTCTGCTCCAGTGCTCAAAAGGGTATCCCATCTCATAAACCTGTTCCTCTCATTCAAAACTCATCAAGGATGTTTACTAATCTACCTTGTAAACAGAATATGTATTTATTGACATTTTTTCCCCAGTCTGGCAAGTTTATCCCTTAGTAGCCCCTTTTCCTAGGAGCCATCTAGCATTTTCCCATCTCTTTAGCCCTGTCTCCTGTCTTATTTTGCTTCCAGTTGTGTCTGTCTTAGTAATTTCCCCATGGGCTGTAGAATAAAACTCAAACACCCCAGCAGAGTGACAGGGGATCTAGCTCAGCTCTAACTTCCTAGGCTCATCTGTTGCTGCAGTGAACCATCCGCTACATACCACCATGCTGGCTCACACAGTTTTCGAGTGCATTGGTCACATACGCTGTGCATCCTTGATCATGGCACCTCATTTGGAGGGAGCACTGAGCACAGTACTCTGCCATTCGTAAAATCTTGGTAACTGTTAATTTTCCTCTTCCATTTCTTAGCAATCTATAAAAATCATTGTCATCCTTCAAGGCCCAACTCAGTTGTTATACATGTCTATTCATAGGAGAGGATCCATGTCTATTCATAGGAGAGGTTTGTCCATGTGGTCTTCCTCCTTCCAGTGCCATTGGCTGCTCCCCTCTGACCCCCCCCCCCGCGGCACTTGGTACTGGTATAATCATTATTTCTCCCTATCTCCACTGCCAGAGTAGAAGTTCTCTGGAGCAGCCTTTTCCTTGATCCCTGCCAAAGCCACCAAACCCAGCATCAGCCTTTGACCTGGTAGGGGGTGGTAGATGTCTGGTTGATTTGAATTGCCTTCTTGAGACTGTACAGTCACAATGCCAAGCCACCAGGCAGGGCCTGGGCTGCACACATAATTATTGTCCATACCCCTTCACTTCCAAAATTGAAAGAGGTGGCCTCACTCAATAAACAGTCACACTGTGTAAAAGATGGCAGGCTCTACATGGCAGTGGCAAGATATCAGAATGCTAACCTCCTTCCTTAGGTGAACTGGTCTTGCTCACGAGGGCTAGCACTGTGGTCCTCAAGCTTAAGTGGCATTCCCCTTAACAAACTGTTGCCATCTTTGAAAATATCTAAAGAATAGCGAGGAGAATTTAAATTCATAGCAAATTTTCATAATATTTAGACCAGTGGTAAGGAAGACATGTTGGGGTTGCTGTGTGGAAGTACTTCTGTAGAGATGACCTTGTTCCTGGGGCTAAATTTGAAAGGCTTACTTCAAAGAAATTCTTCAAAGTCATCTTATAGCACAATTGTAAAAACACAGTGTTTAGCCATGGCCTAGTACAGAATTCTTCATGTGGCTTTCTTTTTTAAAAAATTTATAGTTTTATTTTTTTTCTGTGTATAAGTGTATTCCCTGCATGTATGTAAGTGCACCTGTGTCAGGCAGTGCCCAAGGTGATCAGAAGAGGGTGTTACAGACACCCCTGGAACTGGAGTTACAGACAGTTATTAGCTGCCATGTGGGTGCTGGGAATTGAACCCTGATCCTCTGCAAGAGCAGCTAGTGCTCCCAACCACTGAGCTATCTCTCCAGTCCTATCATGTGGCTTTCTAGAATGGCTTTTTGATGAAGTCAGTGGGATAAACTTAAAAGGTTAACGAGGGCCATTATTCAGGTGGGAAAATCCTTCTTGATTTGTGAGTTGAGTGTGAACACCACAAGCCCTGTAGATTGTCCACACCCTTCATACCCTTCCCCCCCAACACTTACACCAACACATATCCAACCAATGTTCTTGTGCAGAGTTGTTCTGGCTGTAGAGCTCTTATGCACATACACACTCACGTGTACTGACAGAGTCCCTGTGACTCCCCATATCCCACTTGTACACACTCATATGTATTCATATACACTCATGCAGTGACACACAGTACCCCGGCCTCCTTAACATCCCACAGGCACACATACACTCATGAGTACACTGATACCCAGACCCTTAGCTTCTGCATATATTATATACACACATAGAGATATACACATACACATACATATACACATACACCCTCATGCATGAGCTGGCACACAGGCCTTTGGTCTCCCCACATCCTGTGTGTATGCATACTCGGAGGTACACACACACACACACACACACACACACACACACACACACACTATGCATGCACTGGCATATCCTTACTGGTTCTCCTGAATCCCATGTGCACACACAGCCTCTGCAGGAAGAGGAGGCATTTCAGCACCTCACTCTACCTCCAGATTTTGTTCCCTTAAGACAGAGCCTAGTGTCTGTTTTTAATAGATTCAATTACTCCAGGCTCCTGAGACCTTCCAACTTAATTCTGATTGCATTAAAGTGTCAGATAATTTGGGAATAAAGGGGGAAATGCAGCCTCAAATTCTCAAAGGGAAAGTCTTCTAGACTGTAGTCATCTGAAGAGGTAGCTGGTAAGTGTAACTCCAGAGGTGGCCTGAAAGACAGACTGCAGGGGTCACAGCCTGGGTCCTGGTGAGAAGGACAGAGAGCTCTGGGGAGTGGCTCTGCTTCTGTGCTGTGAGGACCAGCCCTCTGCTGTCCTTCCCAGAGGATGCTGGGTAGAAGCAGAGGCTAGGCCAAGCTTCCCTGAAGGCAAGGCTGAAGCTCTGCTTTCTGCACACACCTGACTCTCAGATGATTGGCCCTTTCTCTTGAGGGCCACCATAACAATAGCAGTGCTTAAGAGGTTGATAAATAATCAAAGGTAACTGTCTGATGCTGCCCTGCACAGAGAGGAGGTTAGGGGTGTCGCATGTGCACTATGGGAACTGTGAGGAAGGCGGCTGAGGGTAACGAATGTGGATGGAGAGAGCCTGTGTGTGAATCCTAGCTTAACCAAGGATCACCAGTGTGACCTTGAGCATGAGCTTTATCTTCTCTGTACCTCAGTTTCCTCTGCTAACATGTGGGTACTATAGTAGAATGTACTTCCTAGGGTGTTTATGAGATTAAAGAAGCCCTACAGCTCTCACCTAACAAAGTCCCAGCTCCCAATGGCTCAGCAAGCAGTCCAAATACCATCATTGTGTTTGTAGTTTACCAGCCAGACAAACAAGGCTGAGAAGAAGCTGAAAGAGGTCAGAGGTGGGGATCCTGGCTTGGCCCCAGGGCAGCAAGATGGGACCCACTCTGGGCAGCAAGGCCATTCCCATACTCCATCAAGCCAGAGCATCCCCCCCATGGACACTCTTGGCTTTTGGTGCTGGTGCTGCTGAGTCCAGGGTGCACATGAGGATGCCCACGTTCTGTGTAGAGACTACTACTCCTCAGCCACCCCCACCATCCCTACCCACAGGCCCGACTGGCCTCTCAGCTCAGTCCTTACCAGCCCCTTGCCATACCCACAAGGCCCAGGCTGGCCTCTCCCCCTGCTGTGTTGCTGGACCTCTGACCTCTTCTCCCTGTTTCCAGCTAACCCTTCTTCCACATCACTTACTAAAGATGGGTGCTGGTCTCATCAGCACCCAAGGTTAGATGATCTCTGTTGGGATTGTGCTGCCCTCTGAAAGGGCTTTTGAAGGACAGGAGACCCTGGTTCAATTTCAGCGTCATGGTTCCTTGTGCCTTGCCCTTAGGCACGTTAGCATTTCTCATGCTTCATTCACCAGAAATTGGTGGTAAAATATTTGATTCTCAAAGCCATTGTGCCCACTAAATGCTCTAAGGACCTGGAGTGCCACAGTTAGCGTGACCTTCCCCTTGACTGTGAAATCTTAGATGGGAAGGACCCTTTCTTCACCCAAACTAAAGATCAGAAGGCTGCCAAGGCGGGCGTGTGAACCTGGAGGTGGGAAGGAGGCAGCTCTAGGTTCTTGGACCCGAGGCTCCCCAGAGCTCTAACTGAAGCCCCATCCCTGTGCTGCCAAGGGCGGAGGGTGGTCCTCGGGGGTGGGGTCTCCGCCAGGGCGGGGCCAGGGGCGGGGCGGCGGCTGCCACGCAGAGCCCCGCCGGGTGCGAGGCTGGGCACCAGCAGAGCGGCCCTCCCCCTCCGCGCGCTCCCGCGGCCCTGCGCGCTCCCGCCGCTTCGCCCTCGGCTCCCGCCGCGCAGGCAGCTGGTCTGGGAGCCTGTGGCCGGGGCCCTGGCGTGCAGTGCGGGCCTCGGCGGGCCCCAGCGGCCGGGCCCGGGAGGATGTGTCCCGGGGCGGCCCGAGAGCTGAGCAGGGCCCCCGCGCCAGACCCGAGCCCCGGCCTCACGAGCTGCAGCCGCCGCCCCGCCCCCGAGAGACATGACTTCCAAGCCGCATTCCGACTGGATTCCCTACAGGTACGCTCCGGCCTCTCCCACTCGGGGCGCGGGAGACTCCCCACCCTCCAACGCTGGGGACGAGGGAGGGCGGGAGCGCGCTGCCAGGCCGCCCACCATCCCCGACTCGGGACGTGGGATCGGTCGGGCCATCTGGCGTGGATGCAGGGCATCCATGCCCTCGGCATCCTTAGCGACACGGGAAGCGCGGGGCTTTCCTACCCAACTTCGAGGGACTCGAAGCCACCTGCCCTGCTCCACCCCATCCACCGCTGGGGTTGCTGAAAGGCCTCCTTGGGCTGGCAGCACCCAGGACACACGCCTGTATATTGTGTGCGCACACACCCCTGCATCTGCACGCTGCACACATAGGACATCTGCGCGTTGAGCTAAAGATACCCCTACTGGTCAGTTCACATAGTCAAAGCAAAGATTCGTGGAGACGATTATTCCGAAAGTAGACCACATGGCAGCTCACATATACATGCACCCATGTATCTCTAGACACCAATTCTCGAGCCACCTGGGTGCATTCTGACAAATCTGTGCACATTCATGTCCTGTATCAGAATGCTCCACACTGCCTACTCACAAGTACTACTCAGTGCTTTTCAGAGATTCAGTAGTAACCAGCTTGCTAGCAAGACCAGCTCACGATACAGAGAACTGCCCTCATGTACACAAAAGCACTCGAGCCCTGACACTTCCTGTTCCTGAACACTTGGGCTAACCCAAGGAAGGCCCTGGTCTTCTTGTGTGTGGGGGGGCGGGGGTAGTCTCCGTCTTCACACAGGTGCACGCCAGGCCTTTCCCCATCCACTCGAACTCCATTCCATTTCCAGAGAAAAGAGCTCATCGCCATAGCAGCGCCAGATCCTTGGTCAGTCATTGGCTCTCTAGTTGCCATGGACTACGGGCTGCCTCCAAGCCTCCTGGAAAGCATGTGTGTAAAAAGGGTACTGGACCCGATTCTTATTGCTGACCCAGGTACACAAGCCAGAGGGTTGCAGAATCAGACCCTTAGGACCCACATGGTCTAAGCCTGGTGGCTGAACCCAGTCACTGTCAGAAAATGATTCTGATGGAGCCCTTACAGGAGTCTGTCCAGTTAGAGTCCCAAACAGAAACCAGGTGAAACTGCCTGAGGCTTGTTAAAAGGCTTGTTGATCTTTTTGTCAACAGGCATCTATCACTGGCCTGGGATTTCAGGATTTTTCTGGAAAATTATTAGTGTCTTTGATCGCAGGTGGGAGCTCTTTAAGATGCTTTGCATCTCCCCACCAATACACAGAGATACATATATGCACACATGAGTAATGCACATATGCAAACATAGGCATTCACAACTCAGTCTCACATGGATCAGGAGATACTCTGGTTGGGAAATGGGGACTGGGGTTGTGCTAACTCAAAAGAACATCTGCCCTGGACATACATCCAGGCTGGGGGTGCAGATGGTTTCTGGAGCGTTCTTGGCACTTGTGGGTTCAGGATCTTCTAGAAGTTAGTGGACCCTGTAGAGTATCACTGACTTTTTGTCTGTCAGCAGAGGTGTAGGCCATTGCCTGTAGGCTAGGGCTGGCGGACTCCAGTGCTGTGGAAGAACCTTCAAGGAGGTCCAGATGTAGGGCGGTGGCCACAGGCAGCACTGTGGCTGGGGAGGTGATGGCCCTTTTAGGTTCTGGTTGATGGGAGGCTGAGCCAGGCCAAGTCATGGTTCAAGGAGGCTTCTCCCAGGGAGCCAGGGACTAAAGCAACTTGCAGAGTGAGAGCTTTTGTCATAGAGAAAACTCTGTCTCGGGCTGGGGAGGATTCAGCCTGTTCCTGGGAAAGAAGAGCCTAGGGAGGTAGAATTGTCTCTGAGACTAGCCCAGGCCTAACCACCTTCTACTCTCCCTCCCATATGCAGCCTAGAGCACAGAATCCTGCCCCCCTGGAAGCCTAGCCCTGAAAACAGCTTGGCACCCTGATGGCCTGCCTTGCTTGCTTTCCCCATTCCTGTCACCAACCCTGCCTTCTTGTTCTGTACACTAGGGAGGGTAGGTGTTTAACTGAGGGTGGGCTGTCATCAGAAGTTGCCAGAATCCTCCCCTGCCCTGTTCAGTCTTTCTGGGCATGCACTGGACCTGGGAAAATGTTGGACTTGGGTTATAGACTTCCAGGATGAGGGGACTTGGGCTGAGAGAAGGGAATTCAAAGGGCCCTTTGCATTGCCTGGTTTTCTGATTGCAGGCAAAGCCACAGCCTGTCGGGTGGCAGAAAACTGGGACAGGAGACACACAAGGCATTTTCTTGCAACTGGGAGTGGGGTAGCATGTGTGCATGTGCTTTGACTGGCACAAGGTTTCCCTAATGCCTCAGCACATCGGACTGGAATGTGGTACAAGGAGAAGAAGGGCTGGCTGACTTGTTGTTAGCTGTGCTGGTGAGGTTTTACTCCTTATATGATGGTTGTATCTTGCATTCCCTGGGCTCGACTCATATTTTCTTCAAAGCAGCGATAGTAATAATCTTCTTATGGGTAATTTTGGCTCCATTTCTAATGATCATGGATTAAGCTCACACCCTGACTTAAAAGGGAGCCATTTCATTTGTAAAAATCAACAACTATAGTCATCTGTTTTTGCCTTTTATTTATTTTCCATTACTAGTAATTCCCAGTTCTGCCATTTTCTCTATCTCTGTTCTTGAGGATTATAAATTCCTGTAGTATATGACTCTACAACCTTTTAAAAAAATATTTCATTTTTATTTTATGTGTATGGGTGTATTGCCTGAATGTATGTAAGTGCACTCATGTCATACAGTGCCCTCAGAGGTCAGAAGAGGGTGTCGGATCCCCTGGAACTGGAGTTATGGATGGTTGTTAGCTGCCATATAGGGGCTGGGAACTCAACCTGGGTCTTCTGCAAGAGCAGCCAGTGCTCTTATTCACAGAGCCATCTCTCCACCCCTGACTCTACAACCTTTTAAAAAAATATTTCATTTTTATTTTATGTGTATGGGTGTATTGCCTGAATGTATGTAAGTGCACTCATGTCATACAGTGCCCTCAGAGGTCAGAAGAGGGTGTCGGATCCCCTGGAACTGGAGTTATGGATGGTTGTTAGCTGCCATATAGGTGCTGGGAACTCAACCTGGGTCTTCTGCAAGAGCAGCCAGTGCTCTTATTCACAGAGCCATCTCTCCACCCCTGACTCTACAACCTTTTATAAGTTGTAGGTAGGTAGAGTTCTGTTAGGAAAGACTACAGCTGAGGCTTGGGCTTGTCCTCAGTGCTCCTCTTTTTTAAAAAAAAAAAAAAAAAGATTTATTTATTTACTATTTTTATGTGTATGTGTGTGCCTGCATGAGTTTATGTGTACCAGATGCATGAGATGCATGCAGGGGCCTGTGGAGGCCAGAAGAGGGTGCCAGTTGGAACTGGAGTTACAGGCAGTTGTGAACCACCCTGTGAGTAGTGGAAACTGAACCTGGATCCTCTGCAAGAGCAGCAAGCTCTCTTAACACTGAGCCATCTCTCCAGCACCATCTTCACACTGCACAGTTAATCCTGGGCTTTTCCCTCACCAAATCATGAACTACTTCAGAGCAGGGACCTCATATGATTTCTGGCTATGTCTTCAGCACAGATAAGATGCCTGCCTATTTGAATCAAAGTGATGTCAAACCTCAAACATTTAGAGGTGCTTCAACTTCCTGGTTGGTTGCATACCTGGGCTTTCAAAACACCTGAAGGATATAGTGCTCTCGGTCACAGTGAGGCCTCTGAACCTCTGCTCTCAAGGCAGCTCCAGGCCATAGGGAGTCAGCTGGAAGGGCCTACATAAGCCCTCCCACTCTCTCCATGCTCCCTTATTTGTAGGAGCCCTGGCCAAATGTCTTCAACCAATCAGTTGTGATGGGACAGTTCTTCCCTGGGTTGAGCCTGAGCAAGTCTCTGGGCTCCCCTCTTTTTTGCTCTTGGTAGACTTCTCCCGCCACGTGCTCCCTTACTTGCTGGGGAGCAGCATTAGTGACTGAGCAAGACTCCCAACGGCTTTAGTCCTGCTGCTGGGTTTAGCCTTATGGGTGTCCTGCTGTAACCACCTCTGGCAACTCTTTCTAGAAACTCCAATTTTCTGTTCTTTATAAAGACCCCCAGCTAGGGTCACAGGATCCTTTTGCATGGCTGAGCATTATAAACCCCATGGCACTTACTTAAACAACAATAAAATTGATTCTGGGGCATGTTCCCCAGTAGTTCTGAATTACCAAATCACGGCCAGGCCAGTGTCATAGCTTTAATGTACCTGGTATGTTTGGAAACCCCTGGCTGGACAGCAGAGGACCCATCCCAGGAGGCAAGAGATCCTGTGAGCATCATGGTCCTTTACTAACTGCCATTTCCAACTGTGTGCCAAGCAACTGCAAGGGCAACAAGAGCCATGGGTGTGGTCTTGCCTGGGTCTGGCATTGGGCACAGGGTTACAGTCAGACACTCCGGGTGGCTTGTCCTTACAGCCTGCTGCTCTGGTTCCTGGGTTCAGGGCAGTGTTCACTGTGGCCCAGGGAAGGAATGAAGGTAGGAAGGAGATGGGGGCAGGGTAGCAAAGTAGGCTTGAAGGGAGCATCCAGATGGCAGAGTCAATCCCTAGGTTGTCCTGGCCTGGGCCCCTGATAGTGCTGGTAGATGAGTTGGAGTTTACAAAGAGTGTAGGAAGGGAAGGGTGGAATTGCTGGGCCTCAGCAGAAATGCCTCCTGTTAGTTGTGGTTTACTTCCCAGATACCTGTCCTTCCCAGTACCTCTAGGTGAGTGGTGGTGGATAACCTGGCTCCATGGGAGGTAAGAGTTGCCACCTTATTGGCCCTGGGTGGAGCAGATGAATTGGGAGACACTGCAGATGGAGCCAGTGATGAGTGCATTCCTGGACCTTCTAGGTCTGGCTTCCAACAGGATGCAGCCATAATGAAAGAGCTGCCAGGGTCAGCTGGAAGACCCATCCATCAGGGCCCAGTCTCTGTCTGAGCCTCCTGGCGGGGCTGCAGCTGGCAGCCGGGCCTTGGCAGTGATTCCATAATTGGAACCAGAGTCATTAAAAAGCCATTAATGTCTCCTTGCATGGTTATCATTTAGTGCAGCCTAGAATGGTGCCCATCAAAGAGGCAGGGCAGGGATGTGTTGTGAGACAGACAGACACCCCAGGAATGGCACAGCAGTGGAGCCAAAGAGGCAGGACTGCTGGGTGGGGGTGGAAGGGAGTTTGGTTCTGTTCTCCTTGGAGACAAACATCACTGTAGTCACTGTCACTGTTCCCCACCACAAGCTGCTGTGCTGGGGATTCTTTTGTTATTCACCAAGGACCTTGTCTGTGCCCAGATGCCTTGTCCTTACCAAACACCCTCCCAGGACAGAGTGGTCCCTTCTAGGTGACTGTGGTCTACCGAGTGCCCTTGAAGCTTTCCTGGAAACCGGGCTTTCTCTATGCATTATGTTTATGCTCAGACTCTGGAGATGGGTGGTTATCTTGTAGGACCTTCTGCGCAGGTGTTGGACCTAGCGTGGGCCGCTTCCCTCTGGCCACTCCCGTGCTATGCGCCTCTCCTTTTGTGCACTTAAATATTCCTGGTGCTGAGTATCTGTGGCTTCTAGAATCTTTCTCAGAAACTGTGCCCTTGTGTTCAGCCTTTTCTGAGGCCACAGTTAAGTCCCTTCTCCCTGTTTCTTTTTGATGATAAACGTTATTAAGCCTGTGGCTCTTTGTCTTCCCCATCTGGAAATGGAGGTAGGGATGGAGGGAAACAAGTACTGTGGTCATGGAAAAACCGCCTCTGACCCCAGACACAACTGCCTGAAAAGTCTGTGTTTGTGGTAGGAAAATGCCTTTGTGTGTCACAGGGCACTGAGGTCACTGTTTCTGGAAACTTCTTTTGTTAGCCAAACTGCCTCTGGAGGTGGAGGTGGCTTTGCTGATGAGCACCTTTTGTTTTCAAAATATCTCCAGAAATTTGTACCAGCACTTGTGGAAGGCGTAATCTTTACTCTGCTCAGCAAAGACCAATGCCTGAGATGACCCAAGTGGCTGCTTCTGTCCCTGGCATTGCCCTCTGAAAGGATATGACTTGTGACCTCCCTGTGACCTCTGAAATGGCTTCTTCCACTGGCGAAAAGAAAGCCAGCACCAACCTATGGAGGTCACAAGAGATTTGTGTGTCTAGGCCACTGGCAGTCTGCCAGGCCCAGCCAGAGCATGTCTGGGTCTCAGACCCCACTGGTCCTGTCGGTGGGTGCCGTTTGCAGAGCCCTTACTGCATTTTTTCATCCATATTCTGGAAGCGGCGAGTGCGTGTGCACTGCCGCTGCTGCTGACCTGTGGACAGTGAGGTTTGGCAGTTAGTTGGAGTGAAGGCCCACTGACACAAAGAGCAGAGGCAGTGGGGAGCTGTGGGTTCTCAGGCCTGGTGAGGTCCTTGGTGTCTTGATCACCTGACATGTGCACCTCTTTCTAGAGGTCATCAGTGGTACCTGTCAGCCTGGGCCCATGTGCCTTTCATGGTGAGATGCTTGCTAGCTCAGCAACGGAAGTTTTAGGGAGCTGGTGTTGCTCTCAGGAAGCCCCAGATGCTGCTGTGCTCTCAGGCAGACAGGCTGTCTTAGGAAGACTGAGGCCTGTCTTTGAGCTGTGTTTTCTCCTGCACTCTTGACAATTGAGGGTTTGGTGAATGAGGCCATTTTGTGCAGCCCTAAATCACAGTTGGGGCTCCTCTGATGTACAGAGCAACCCAGAGGTACCAGGAAAAGCCCTTCCTAGGTGTCAAGTAGTCAAGACAACTATCAGTTAAAATAATGCATAGTCCTATAGGTCATGGCAGGGAGGTGAATGGTGAGGGGTGGCTAGCTACTTGGAGGTATTAATTTAAGGGATCTGTAGGTCAGTGGTTGTTCTAGATAGAAAAGGTAACTGTCAAACAGTAGACATGGCTTTACCATTTGGGGGTGATTTAATCTCTTTTTCTTTCTGTGCACACTGTAATTACCTTTAAACAAGCAAGCCCACTTCTTACACGGGTATCTGTACATGTGTATTACACACATGAGATTCTGGCACACACCTCATTATAGCCCCACCTACATATGATGCACTCAGGCCCACCTGAGCTGGTCTGGTCTCCACCCCTGGCAGCATCCTGAGTTGGGCTTTCATAGCTTTTGGGCCTGGGGTGTCTTGGTCTAGTAGGAAAGCCAAATAGTTTGAGTTAGAGCTTTCTGTTTGGAAGGGCTCATGATCCATTGCTGGGCTGTGCATTAGTTGTGTCAACCCTGAAGACATTCCTGCCCAGCCCTGGTCCTGCCCTGGAGGAACTGGTTTCTTAGTGTCTCCCAAGTGAGAACACACTGCCCTGTTTAAGGGAGAGATATCCTGTCCCCTCTGCCAGGAGTTTGGGGTGAGGAAATGGTCTGCCCCAGAAGACCCTGCCTTTTCCAGATAGGACAGAAAGGAGGAGGAAGTTGATGAGATCCCTGTAGAGAGCTGGAGGAAGCAGATCACTGGCATGAAGGCAGGCTTCTTGGGCTTCACTTGTGGCTGATGCCTCTGCTTGGACTCCCTTTGAGCGTCAATCAAGCCTTGCTCAGGAATCTGAAGGGAGCAGTTCTTCCTGTTCTTTCTAGGACCAGGCTGGCTTCGAGGTCTTTAGGGAAATGGAGGAGAAGAAGCTATCAACATGGCAGAAATGTGGCTGAACCTTTGTTTTCTATGGGGTATTTTTGTTTGTTTGGTTGGTTTGGTTTTTTGAGACAGTGTCTCTTGTAGTCCAGGCTGACTTGAACTCCTACCCTCCTTTCTCAGTCTCCCTAGTGCTGGAATACAAGAGTGAACCACCACACCCAGCCTTGAAGGTTTTGTGGTGTTTGTGCTGGGGATCAAATCCAGGGCCTTAGCCATACTGGGCAAGTGCTCTACCACTGAAGGTCCCTCCTCCCTTTTCTAGTTCCCAGATGGCGGCTTCCATCTTCCTCTACCATGTGAACCCCCTGGGAGCCATGATGGGAGGGAGTTTTAATTATGGGGGTGCGGGGTAGGGGTGGTGGTGTTCAGGACCATCCCCTGGCACCTTGTGGGCAACCCTGAGTATCCTTCTCTCCTTCTGCAGTGTCCTAGATGATGAGGGTAGCAACCTGAGGCAGCAGAAGCTTGATCGGCAGGTGAGTGAGGCTGGGGCTGCTGGAAAGACAGAGCCAGCTGGGTTGGCTGGGGGCAGGGGCATCTCTCCTCCAATAATGACTTTGATGTGCAAGAGAAATGAGCTACTTTATCAGCTCTATATTATCCTGCCCTGGTACTCACTGCTTTGACCAGGCTGGCAGTTGGGGGTCACTGTGCTTGGAGAAAGGGATATTGGGTCTGTGATCCTCCTGCAAGGCAGTCCCGTCCCCAGGGCAGTTTTGCCATTCTTTCCTGAACCCCAGGGCTGTAAACCCCAGTGTGACCTCTGGAGCGCAGCCCAGTGAGCATGTGCTTTCTGTTGCCCGTTGTGGGAGCCCCTTCCTCCTGGCGGAGGTGGTGGGCCAGTCCACCTCTGTGCCCAACATGTGCCTCTATAGCGGGCCCTGCTGGAGCAGAAGCAGAAAAAGAAGCGCCAGGAGCCCCTGATGGTACAGGCCAATGCAGATGGGCGGCCCCGGAGCCGGCGGGCCCGGCAGTCTGAGGAGCAAGCACCCCTGGTGGAGTCCTACCTCAGCAGCAGCAGCAGCAGCACCAGCTACCAAGGTACACCCTGCCTCGGCCCCCTGGGCACCCTCTGTACTGGGGTGCCATGAGCCAGGGAGGTGAAGGACTCATCCTGTCAGGGTTTGTCCAGGCTCAATGCCCATCTCAAGTGGATAGCTGTGTGGGATGGTCAGAGAAAGACATTTAACCTTGGGTTTTATGTACGTAAATCAGCTACTTAGGCCAGAAGGCTCAAACTACAGATCGTAGAGTTCAGAGGTCCAAGTTTACTGAGATCCTGCGCCCCACCTGCATTCTTTCCTGAGAGAATCCATCTCTCATCCTCCTGCTTCACACCAGCTAGGGGCTCCTAGGTCACCCTCTTCCTCCCTCTCCAAACTCTCTGGCTTCTGATCTGCATGTGGGTGCTGACCCCAGCTGAAGATTCCTTCAGGGCTGGCAGTCACTGAAGCCTTGTGCTGCCATCCTTACACTTAGCTCTCAGCAGAGCCCACTGTGAGAATTCTCTCCCAGCTCATCCCGCTGAGCTGTGGCTCCTTTGCATCCGTGTGCCTGGGACCCTCCCTCCTGCTTAGGTTTAGGTTCCATTCAGTACCACACCTTCCATAGATCCCACAGCGTTGCTGTGAGAAGCGGGAGACAGATTGATTGGGTCTTTACTGCCCTCTGCTGGGCTGGTGCCAGTCGTGCAGGCGGCTACTCCATGCATTTAGGAACTGAGACGGCAGAGGGTACCTGGCTTTTGCCAGTGGGAAGAACCTTTGTGGCCATGGTGCTCCCCTCCTGTGATTTCCTTCTGACCTGGCGCCTCCACCCACGTTCAGGTGTTGGTGGTTTCCTCAGCTTGGGGCTAACCTTCATCTAACTGCTGACCCTGTCCACCTGCCACACTGTCTCAGTTATTTTCTCTGTTCCACAAGCCCAGCCCCTATTGCCTAGATCGTAGCTTGGCACACCGTGTAAACCTAGTCTCCTTCCTTGGCACACACACCCTCTGAGGAAACCCGCTTCTTTCTGGATAGTGTGGCTGTCTTCCAGCATTTGTCAGGGCTGGGCATGGTGCTGCATCTTGGCTTGCATCACTGTCATTTCATCCTCATAGCAACTCATCATCTCTATGTGATTGGCAAGGCAGGGCTTGTTCAGCAGTTTGCCCATAGTACACTGCCGATGGGCAGCAGAACAGGTCTTTCAGACTCCAGATGGTCTTTGGCCATAGTGCATTGCCTCCCTGGTAAAAGTTCTTCATGGTAATTCCCCTGTGCATACCTCAGTTCCTTTGTACACGGGGCCATGCTGAATGTGTCTGTATCCCATTTGAAAGGCCTTTGAGAACAAGGGGCCTCACTCTCAGCTGCTTCCCACGGAATGGTCCCCATCCCTGCCTTTCCCAGCAGCCTCTTCCTTCACCTTCTCTGCGGGTGCCATCCCAAGGATGGCCACGGTGCCCTGCAGGGAAGACAGCCACTGTCTTGGTCCTGTGGAGTCTGACCTGCTGCTACTTGAGGGGTGAAAGCTTGCACCCAGAAATTGGACCCTGCTTCTTTATGCCTGAGGTGCACATCTTGATAAGTCACTGGCAGAAAGGCTACAGCAAAAGAGGCAGCACCTCTGGGGCCCATATCTTGCCACAGTCTGTTACCTACTTATGGCTGTGGCAAGTCACTTACGCTCTCGTGCACTTTTCCCTTCGCTTATACAAAGGGGTAAAATAAAATGCCTTAGAGCTTCAAACATGGAAGAAACCACAAGCTGTTCCAAGGTTCAAACTCAGCTGATTGCTGTTCCCTGCTGAGATCAGAATAGGTGAGCCCTTTAGGGGCTTTCCCCACAGGGAACCCTGGACATCTGTGAGGTTCCTGCTGTTTCTCTGGGACCCAGTCTTTGTCAGCTCTGAGTGGTGGACAAAGCCCTGGGGAGGCTGCTGCACGCCTGCTGTCTGAGCCAGCCCACCCACTTCCCTGGCCCCTGCTGCCTCCTGCCCTGCCCCCTGCTGGCCCTTGGTGTTAATGCCGTGCCTAGGGATCATTCTAAATGATGGTAAAGTCATCAGAACTGATAGCGACCCCCAGTGGAAGTTTCCCACCTGCTGGCCATGCTCATTCATAGTACACATTCATGCATTTTCTAAATGCTTCCTGAAGACCTCAAAAAGGATCTGGACTAGTGGATGTGGGTCCTGGGTAAGCACAAACAGGTGTGGCCTCTCCTTCCGTGGGCCTTCTGGTCTAGGTAAGCTTAGCAGATGCTTACAGTTGTACTTTGTGGAAAGATGTCAGGCTGTGTGAAGGGATGACAGGACACCCATTCTGACTAGGTAGTTGGAGATATCTTCTCTGAACTGGAGATTTCAGGAATTTGGAAGTTGGAAGTTAATTCAGTGGGGGAAAACAACACAGAAGCCCCAGGACAGAGAGTATGATTCATACAGTGCACTAGGCCAGCCTGGTGCAGCTGGGACCCATGCTAAGTGGCACAGTGCATGTTGAGGGGAAGGAGATGGAGGAACCCACCTGGCAGGAGAATTTGAGCAGATTGGGGCCCTGCTGTGTGTAGAACACAGAGGCCTCCAGGTGGGACTTTACTGATGCTCTCCTGTTAGTGTATATATGTAGCTCTTTGTTTCCCAGGATCTTCCTCCCACACATCACATTCTCCTGTGCTGCGCACCTGAGCCTGGGAAACTTCCTGGACGGCCTGCGCTGGCTGCAGTCTCCTCCAGAAGTTGCAGCCTCTGCGTCCTTCTCCATCTTCCATGGCACATGTCGGTCTCACAGACACTGACCCTGCCCTTGCCCAGGCTCAGAATAGCGGGCTGGCCCAGAACTCTGATTCCTGAATGAGCGCTCTAGCTATGACTTCATCATAGTAGACCAGGGTCCCGCCTGACCTCTGTCTGGTGGAAGTGAATGGGCCTGGTGATGTGGGTGAGGAGCCAGAAGAGGGCTGGAGTAGGGTTGGGGGCGCCATGCTGGGATCGAGTGGGATTTCTGGTTTCACCCAATGCCCATATTTCTGTCTTGGGTTCTCTCCTGAGCAGTTCAAGAGGCCGACTCACTTGCCAGTATGCAGCTGGGAGCCTCCCACCCTCCAGCACCAGCCTCAGCCAAGAGAACCAAGGCCGCAGCCGCATCAGGGGGCCAGGGTGGGGCCTCTAGAAAGGAGAAGAAGGGAAAGCACAAAGGTTAGCTTGCCTTCTCAGCCCTGCCCAGAGGTCTGGCCACATTGAGGGTGGGGAGCAGCTTATCCTTCTGACTTGGAGGTGGGATAGGGTGAAGGCTTTCAATGTACGTGCACGTAGGTGTGCCCATCAGCAGGCCTTGCCCAGCTCATGGGTGCCTGGGAGGGTTGGGGAGGCCTTCTTAGACTGCCAGGAAGTGCAACTGAGCTGTGGCTCAGGACCACCCCTTCCTCTCACCCTATGGTAGCCTGAGTGCCCTCTGTCCAGACCCCTGAGCTAGGACAGTCCCTTCAGTGGGAGCTTACTGCCCCCATGCTTTCAAGCACTTGCTTTCACTCTGCCTCATAATGCGCATTTCCTTTCTGCCCTGACTCCAAGTCCACCTCGTCCAGTCCACAGACCAATGTGTACTTTCTGCTCCTTAGTCTAGCAAAGACCCCTAGGAATCAAGGACAGTGATGGTGGCCACAATTCCTGTCTCCTGGCTCCATTGTTTCCTAACCCTTGTCATGGGTAGTGATTACCAGGTCACTGTGCCATAGCTAGGCAGTAGGGTATCAGTGTCCATGAACTTGCCTGCAAAACTGAGCAGAGGTCAGCCAAGCAGAGAAGCTGCCTGTGGGCCAGACTTACTTCTGTTGGGCAGGGAATGGAAAGAAGCCAGGCTCTGCAAAGGGATGCGAGGGTGCATGGGATGGGGGACCACCTGCTTAGGAAGGCAGGTATGTACTGCAAACCACAGTTGTTTGGGAATGTTTTTTTTTTTTTTTTTTTTTTTTTTTTTTTTTTTTTTTTTGACATGCTCAGGCTGTAGATGCAGCAGCTGTTTCTGTGGTCCACACACATCAGCCCTCCTTGACCCCGGTCCCCACCCCTTGACGTTCTTCATAACCCCAAAGAAGCTGGGAAAGGCTTACCTGAGGCCTCTGACAATCCGTGAAATGCATGTTTCATTGGAGGATAGTCCGGCTGAGTTCATATGTCCGCTGAGTGTCCCTCCCAGCTTCCCCTAAAATGCTGGTTCTGAACCCAAGCCTCGGCGAGGGAGGGAGGAGAGAACGGACACAAGAACACCAGGATGTGTAACTTGTAGCTGGCTGTTTCCAGGAATGACTGTTGGACTCAGCTATGTTTTGGATTGATCCTTGTTCTCCGTCTTGTTCTTTCTACCGTGCAGTTGCTTTTGTAGATGGTTGCTATCTGTCTTAGGGATATGAGGTATTCAAATCAACCCTTGGCTAGTATTTTGGGGGAAGAACAGAAGAAACAAAGCTCACATCCCTTTACAGCTTATCAAGCATTAACAGGCTGACAGCAGTCAGTAGTTTTTTAAAAATCAGTTTTGCAAATAAAGTTTTGCACAAGGTCTTCTCATTCATCCCCTCCTCCCCCCCTTCATGGATGTCTAAGAATCCAGACCCTTCTCTCGTTCTGGATGTAACTCAGGAGTATCTGGCCTGCAGGCACCAGCGGGCCAACAGCCCTGGCAGAAGACAAGTCTGAGGCCCAAGGCCCAGTGCAGATCCTGACTGTGGGCCAGTCAGACCACGCCAAGGACGCAGGGGAGACAGCAGCCGGTGGGGGCTCACAGCCCAGCGGGCAGGACCTCCGTGCCACGATGCAGAGGAAGGGTGAGCCCCATGGGGGCCCAGCCGGGACCAAAGCTCTGTTCCAGGTTCTCTGAGGTGTCTTCCAGGAGCATGGCACTCCTATGCCTGGCCCATCCCTTCCCTGGATGTGGGGGAGGGATATGCTCAGAGACAGATGAGAAGCTTTTGGGCAAGGACCCCTCATGAGGCCAAGTTCAGGGAAAGAAGTATGAACTGGGGGAGCCAACCAGAAGCCCAATCCTGTCTCTAACTGTAGGAGGACCATGTTTGCCTACAGATTGCCCAATTTCCCCAGCGTGAGCCCTAACCCTATGAAACTCCTGGTGCAGGAGGCAGAGAGCAGCTGTACAGGGCCACATACACATTATGAGGAACCAACTTAAAGACTAGTTCATTGAGGAAGAGCGTTTAAGACAACTCAGAAATGGTGGCATTCTGTGTCAGTGAGGGCAGCTGAGACAGGCTCAGGGCAAGCTGAGGGAGCAGAGTTAGCCCCGCTCACAGGCCACAGGCAGAGTGAGGAGCTAGGGCCTTTTCCCTGGTAGAAGCCATGGCCTTTAGCAGGCCTCAAGTCAGAAACAGAGGGTCCCTGTGCAGGCTCAGCTCGGGCTTTGATACACAAGAGACAGGGGCAGTGCAACTGGCAGGCAAGAGGGGGTGTGATGCAGGGACTGAGCTGAAACTGGGTGGTGAGGATGCATCCCAAGGAGGATCGTGACTAAGCCCAGCTCATGTGTGCATCAGAGAACGTGTGTCCTTGTATATGTCTGGACATGTGGGAGTACATACGGCAATGTGAAGACATGTGCAGATGGCTGTGTGAGTGCTTGGGTGTAGGCGAGTCAGTGAACGTGCATCTACATGTGACCACTGATGTTTGTTTCTTGCTATAAACCTGCTTGCTCATCATTCCTATGCTCACCACAGGCATCTCTAGCAGCATGAGCTTTGATGAGGAAGAAGATGAGGATGAAAACAGCTCTAGCTCCTCCCAGCTAAACAACAACACCCGCCCCAGCTCGGCCACTAGCAGGAAGTCCATCAGGGTGAGTGAGGAGCTGACAGCGGTGTCTGCCCATGGGTTGGTTCTAGTTTTCTTTCTATGGCTGTGATAAACACTCTGATCAAATGCAATTTTAGAAGGAAAGGGTTTATTTGACTTATACTTTCTGGACACAACCTATCATTGAGAGAAGTCAGGGCAAGAACTTGGACAGAATGCGTAAAGGAACACTGCTTGCTAGCCTCCTCTCTGGCTGGCTCCTGGTCTCATGCTCAGCTGGTTTTCCTTTTTTTTATAATATTTTTTTATTTATATGTATGAGTGTATTGCCTGCGTGTGTGTAAATGCACTTGGGTCATGCAATATCCGTGGAGGTTAGAAGAGGGCATTGGGTCCCCTAGAACTGGAGTTACAGACAGTTGTTAACTACCAGGTGGGTGCTGAGAATCAAACCTGGGTCCTCTACAAGAATAGCCAGTGCTCTTAACCTCTGAGCTATCTCTCCAGCCCCACAGCTACCCTTTTTTTTTTTTTTTTTTTTTTTTTTTTTTTTTGAAAAAAAAAAAAAAAAAAAAGAGGACGATAAATCTTTCACTGTGATATATCAAAATAA